ACTTCAAAGGGTGTCGAGTTAGACCGCAGCATGACTGTCCGGAAATGGTCAGCGCTTTCCGTATACACATCCAGTGTTGTTCTACTTTTTGCGGTGGATTGCAACTGAGTGCATATGCCAGTGAAGGCTGACAGCTCTCCTGGACAGAGGAATCAGTTAATCTGTTTACATCAGTCTTGCGGTGCTTCGCGTTTCGGGATCCTCCAAAACACATACAGATTTTCGCGCAGACCAGAGCATGGTCTGAGTCAATGAAGGTGGACCAAAAGAACCTGTAGTCCAGTAAGCTGCCGCGCCATCTGAAGCTAACCGCAATGTGATCAATTTGAGACCACGGTTGTGTTGGCGAAGGGGGACGCCATATTGCGCAACGCTTCTTCGTACGCCTGAAGCTAGTGCTCGAAAGAAACAGACGGTTGTCCTCGCACAATGTGAGGTCTCTCTCCATTATCAGAGCGGTTCACATCGAGCGCGTGATGACCACCAAGGTGGCGTTCGTATGGTAAGAGGCGGCCAACCCGTGCATTAAAATCCCCAGCAAGGATAACGACATCCGACTTTTTAGCATTAGTCAAGAGCTGATGTAGATCTCGGTAGAAATCGTCCTTGACCGAGTCGCTATTGCAGTCGGTTGGAGCGTACACAGAGATCACAAACAAGTTGTGTCTCTCTTCGCGGTGCCTGTTGATTCTACATGAACCCCGAAGCCGAACTGCACATAGTCGACTGTTAATCGGGAACCAGTCCGGTAGTGCCGCCTCGGCCTTGCCACTTAGTGCTATACCTACACCAGCCAAACCCGCTGAGGCTGCTTCTGGATCTCCAGAAAGACGCAGGTGATATCTGGCTTTGTGGTCAGTGGGGGATGTCAATGTAAGCACAGTGCTGGGATCTTGCAATCGCGTTTCTGAAAGGCAGCAGACATCAATGTCTAGGGAATCTAGGGTGCGCGCTAGACCGGCTTGCTGTCCATTCTGCATGAGTGTCCGAACGTTGAGGCACGCCACACGGAACGAGGATCGGGGACAAAGGAGAGCCATAGGTTGAACTCCTTGATCTACGGAGCAACCGGAATCGCATCTAGATTGTTGGACAGATAAATCGGGTAACCGAAAGTGAGGATTGTTAGCAAACAAACAATTGGCGTGTGATGAAGTAGCGTGAAAGTGAGTAGCAGGAACAGTAGCTGATGAGCGCGGTGTAGTACAGTCCATGGTTTTGTGAGAGGGCGTGATACTACCCGGTTGCCCAAGCCGAAGTAGGGAGTTGACTTAGGGGACTCCACCCCGAGCCTTTGGCTAAATAACCTACCCGCAAGGCAGCGGGGCGAATTTAGGGAATCGCGCCCATTGGGAGGCGTTGACTGAATGATCAGCTCATGCGCCTTTGTTTGGTAGATTACCAAACATGAAGTCAGCACAATTGCTGGAATACAATGCCCCACGGAGGGAGAACATTGTTGCGGAACACTTTGCTGGAACGGGGTACACTCGAAGCACCCAGCTGGTACCACGACGTAGTTCGGCAAGCCAGCTACTCGCCTCAGTCGTTCGCTATATACCGACTGTGACCCGTCAAAGCCAGATTCGTGAGGAGCAAGCCCAGTTTCGTACAAGTTAGGACTGCATTGATCACATATTTACGTCCGTTGTTGGAACACCGTCATATTTTCTGGCGACCCAGAGTAGTCGTGTTACTACACATCAAAGGTGCTTTTGATTCGGTGGATCGATGCGCCCTTTCGGAGAGTCTGCTCAGGAAAGGTGTGTCCGAAAAATATGTAACCAGTATCAGGGAGCTATACGCGCATAGTTCGGGTAGGGGTTTATGACAAAATATCGCTGCTCTCTAATACCTCCGACAGTGAAACAAGATTGTTTGCTGTCACGTTTCCTCATTAACCAACATTTACCGTCATGGAAACGGACATGGATATGATCTGAAAGGCATCGAGCCGCTTTCTGATGAGCGACTCTTTGACTTAGAGTATGGTGACGACTATGCCCTAATTTGTGACAACACAAATTTGCCAAGCAGCACTAGACAGATAAGCAGTGGATGTTAATCGTTTTGTGCCAGACTTCGCACGTTCTAGGTGAAAAGCTTTGCTCCAAGGTTACTACCGATCCCGTTCGCTGATCATGTATACAGATCGCCTAGAAGTCCAGAAAGTGTGCTCGACAGAGTGAATCACGAGATTCTCCTTCAGAAACTGAGGGAGTGCGGAGTCGGAGGCTCGCTGCACCAATGGATCCGTGACTTCTTAGTTGGACGGAAGTGGAGGGTGCAAGTCGACAGCCACCTGACCGACTGGTACCCGTCGACGAGCGGCGTTCCTCAGGGGACGGTGCTTGGCCCCATTCTCTTCCTGATTCACATCAACGACGTGCCCAATCTCCTTCGGTCGCCGTGTGCCTTGTTCGCGGATGACCTGAAGCTATGGAGGGTGATCCATACGTCGGACGACTTTGACATACTTCAGCAGGACCTCGACCGCCTCTCCATGTGGTCCGCCGAAGTAAGTTTGCCTATCAACTCGGCAAAATCGCTACTTCTGTGCCTCGGTAAAGGTGGAGCGGGCCGATCGTACACTCTCGACGGCCAAGTTCTACACCCGACGCATTGCGTCGACCTTGGCGTTATACAACGTTACGACATGAAGTCACTGGACAACACGGACAATATGTATCGCACAGCATTGCGTTCGCTGTGGGCGCTGAAACGTAGCTTCTGCACCTGGTCGAAAGAGATTGCCACTCGTCTCTTCACATCCATTGTACGACCGGTGCTAGAATACGGCTCACCGCTCTGTCCGTTGACGAAGGGCGAGATACACAAGCTCGAAAGAGTACAACACATAGCCACACGGCTCATTCCCGGTCTTCAGGGTGTGCCGTATGAAGAAAGATGCAGACAATTGGGTCTGTATACTCTAGCCTACCGCCGCGTGCGAGTGGACCTCATCATAACCCATCGGGTATTGCATCTGGGTGCTTATCCGATGCTGAGGCCACTGCTCCATGTCCATGCGTCAAGCAGCACACGAGGTCACCAGTACAAACTGGTAGTCCCTGACCTCAAGTGGGTAGCTCATCCCTTGTGTCTTGAGCGGCGAGTGGTGAACATGTGGAACCGTTTGCCCTCGCGGATAGTAGAAGCGAACTCGGTGTCGGAATTCAAACGATTCCTGGACGCGCACTTTGCGGATGCCAGATTCGACGAAGCCTTCACAGGAAACTGACGAAGGGCAATGATTATAACCCATGGAGCCCGTTAATCCACCAACTGCAGCTTCCGAAACGATGCCCATCCGTAATAGGCGGCGGAGCTGGTGAAGGACTCCATGTGGTTCATCCAAGAATATATCGTAAGTACATGGAGTTTTCTTTCTATGCTTGTAAATATTTTACTTTTTTCACCTGGGCTAGCTCACTACTACAGGTAACACTGTGTCAGTGGGACATGTCCTACATTGAGATATAGCTACATAGATGTTCAACATCTTTCTCGCTATCATGACAGTAAAGTAAAGTAAAGTAAAGTTAACAACTTGGGCAGCTGTATTAGCGCCCAGGGGACAGAAGACGAGGCCACGAACTGTGCAGCAAAAGCTCGATGCGCTTTTACCAATCTCCATTACCTGTAGTGCTGGCGCGACATCACTCTCGCAGTTTGCAACAGCCATTCGTTCAACTCTCCATGGCAGCGAATGCTGTCTCATCAGATCGACAAACAAAGAGGCTGGGTACATTAGATCGTCGCCGAGTTTGCATCTAACCACACGTCCGGTGGAAACACCACGTGCGCAATAAGCGCATGTGGCGTCGTGTGTTTTATACAGGAGAAGCGAGTGAACCGATCTGCGGGGTTATTTCAAGCACCCAACATTGATGGCTAGACCGTTTTGCGCATGATGCTATACCGGCTACCGTGTCATGCGCTGTCTGCGCGCCGGAAACCTGGGTGGAAGAAGAGGGAAGCCAATCGATGACCTGATCAAGGAAGATAAAGTCGCTTACTTCAAACTTGGCATCAGTCGTCTCCCGAACGCGGGGCTGAGATTCGAAGGACGAACACGTTTGGTTGGACATACTAGTCGAAATGGCATGGAGAGGGCCACATTGGCGTTTGTATTGTAAGTTTTATTGTGCCTCTCCCTGCCTCATTCCACCAGATTCTCATGCCTGATGCGTAATATGATACTAGACAGTGTCAATGTTCGGTTTTGCATTGTATTTTGCAAAATTCTGAAGCTAGCTTTCTCATATACCTTTTGTTTTGCTTCTCACCGAATAGGACGGGCATGAGGACAGAAATCAGTCATCCAGCGACACCCTAACGGTCACTTATACTGAATGCAAGTATGGTATCGTTAAAAGCAGTTGTGGTTAATGTAATCTGGTATTTACCGACGTTTATAGACGTAGTGCGCCAACCCATCTTTTTTAGCTTTCTACAAGAGACCATAAGGAAATGTAAATGTGACAGGTAGCCGTCTATCTGTGCCGACAGGAATGGTTTTTAGCCAGAGACCACAGAAGGTAACAGCTGCTCCCAAGCGACTGTGAGAAAACAAAGCAATCAAGATTTTTAAGCCAACTTTTTGTACACAACTGATGACTTATAAGGGTTTAAAGACTTTCATTATCCTCAAACCGAATCCACAAAAAGTCGGACGAAAATCGGTGACTTTCAGGGGAGACCCAGTACATAATCAGTGACAAGAGATCCTGAGCATCGGCAATCCATGGTAAAATGCCAGATAGATGCAGGAACAAGACCTTCAATCAGGAAGCATCCTAACAGTCTATTCATTGTAGGTGCGAGCAGACAAAGGACATCAGTCAATTATAAACAACTCTAGTGGAGTGTAGACTGGCGACAGCAGCGCAAAATAAAGTCTTAATACGACTTTACTTACGCCATGTTCACACTTCACATTAAAAGTTCTTTTCAAGCTGGCAGAATCGTTGCTTCCTATGGCATATTGAGCAAACGGCTTGCGGTAATCATTTGAAGACCTAGAGGCAGGAAACCGACCAGTTTGGGTACCGACCTCTAGCTTGATGTTGTCAGCAAATTGTCCTGATACCTGCTCTTCAGTGGCTGGCAAAAAAGTAATAATCTTACGAATATGTTACCCGTGCAACAATCAACCTTCTGAGGCTCAGGCTCGCAACCATTTCTGCAGGTGCATAAATGTAATGTGCGGGACGTACGGGGAAAGATCACCTGCTGGAAGTATCATACGATCCGGGCCCAGTTCATAATTGTTGATAATTGGCTTCGTTTCGGGACAGCCCCTGTCAGACAGTGGGGAGAGACCGGAGAAAACTCCAAAGTTCCATGAGAGGGGATGATGGGAATACTCGGAGTCTCGCTTCTTTCTTCTGAATTGTAGATTCTCAATGTAGGCTTCAAAAGCCGAGTTGATGACAGTATACGCCGTTCCATATTCCGAGCCCCCCATGCGAACAAGGCATTCAGATAGGGAAGGGGGCGGCGCAACCGTCAAACGATAGAGATGGAAGGACTATTTGTTGTGTTGTATGGTGCATTCGGGGTACACCCAGAGACGTAGTTATTTTGCTTTATCTATTTAGTAGCATCCTGCATCTTTGCTATTAGTTATCTATCTTGTCTTTTTATTTTTTCGTCATTGTGTCGTTATCTTTCGCATGCGTACGCATATGTATTTCACCACTTTCTTAATTACAATGCATATCGCACACAAATATGGTTCCATAGTTAACTTTACTTTACTTATTAAAATTATCTAATTTCTCGTCCTATATCAGTTTAAGTTCAAACCCCACAATCCGTTGCAACTCAGAGCTTCCCACCATATTTTGAATTCGCGCGTACCGGTAAACGAATGGTCGTTGAAGGAGAAAAGGTGGAGCTGAAAAAGCTGCAACCCACTCAGTCTCTATGTGCAAAATCGGTGTACTTAAATATGGTACTGCAATTGTGTCCTTTGTAAACTTCTACATTCTTCACTTACACCTTCTTGCTTCATCTTTTATTATTTATTGTAAGTCCGTTTTAATGATCTTAAGAGCTATATTTAACCTCAAATTTCGTTCTGCATTGTCGCTACGGTTCTCCGCAAGTTCCATCGTCGTGATCGTCCAAGTTGCTTGCTCAGTGTAAGGACAAAAGCCTTATGGACTCAGATTGCGTTTTTTTCCAGGCATACGACTACCTCCAAGCATTTTACTGTTAGTACTAACCGAACTGCCGGTCGACTTACTTCGCAGATTGAAGAGATTTCCATTGACGTATCTGTGGCCCTTTTTACAACATAATTGGTGACGCCGTTGGTATTTATTATTGACTTCTAAGTTGTTCTGAAAGCTCAGGACCCCAAACGGTTCCTATTCTCACACAAAATATTCTCCGACCGAGATCATTCTTTTATTACCGAAAAACTTGTGGGCTTCTCTGTAACTCCAGTCGGCTCAACCAACTTGCATGTTTGGCTTTTGTAGTTAGAAGCACATGTTCACTTCCGCTGAATCACTTCCCAGTTAAACATGTATTCCTACTTTGCCTCGAACCTCCCGAATCGTATGGCTGTCAATGTCGCTGATTTACTCGCCCATGCCCAACGCCACGCGCCTTATCACAAACTTGCATACGCCACATCGGAGCGCACCGCACTTTCCGTTGTGGCGTGACTGTAGCAACTACTCTCAGGTGTCACACTTGGAGATCGTCCGGCATCGCAGCTTCCCGATTTATGCGTTCCCTTGATAGATCCACGAACGTCTACGAGGGCGCCTTGAGTCAATTTTAGACCAAATGTCTTTCGCTGACCACTGCTGCTATTTCCGCTGTTTTCGTGGATGTTGTCTTATAAGACAACCTGGCAGCGACTGCCAATGAAGTCCACGAGTGTTTCTTAACCCGTCCCGCTTTTTAGTGCTACTGTCATCTGTCATTTAATAACATATGTCGTTACATACTATCCTATCAACACCGCTTCACCTCCAACTATTTTTGATGCATTTTATCAACTGGTCATAAACAGCTATCCTGGTTCTCACACTTGCTGCTCACGGAAGACACAACCTCAGAGGCGATAAATAAATAAACTTTTATCCTCGACAGTTTGGGGCCCAAACTTACAAGCAGGATCAAGTTAAGCAAACATACAGTAAGGTGCAAAAATACATGTTTAGCATGACAGTGACCGTGCGCATGGCTATATATACTTATGCGATTGCGTAAGAATGTGCTTGAGCAGCTTGTGTTTAGGAATGTGCCGCAGCATTTTTGACGGTCTATAGTCGTCTGGAATGTGGGAATAAGCACTTGATGTCCGCAGGTTTCATGGCATTTTCCGAATATGGTACCTTCGTTCGAAAATTCTTAGCTAGTTGGCTTGCCGTTAAGCACTTTCATCTCTTGGTTGAAAGACAAATTTATCAACCGCATTGCATATAAGCAACACACTTTGCTTTTCGTGGCTCCTCTGCTTGCATCTGAGCTCCAGAATCTTGGCATTTGGTTTACCTCTCACGAGTACCCTCCGACAACTGTCCCCTGGTGTCAGCCCACTATGTAGTAGACGACGCTTTACCGGGCATTCGTGTTCATAGAGAACCGCGCAAAACAGTCAAACCAGAAGACATCGCTGTCCAGCACTAAGACAAATCCTGTGTTTGATCAGTTGCAAGCATATCCCACCATTCAATTATTTGACTCTCCGTTCTCAAATCGGACTCATGAATGGCTGTTCTGTATCCACTTGAACGTCTAGACCACTCGTTCCGCTACAATATCGATGAGTTCTGTTTGACGACTAGCCAGTAATTTCTCCTCCGTGCATCTGAGCCACTATTAAGCGGTTTACGGATCATTATATCTGGTCCCCTATGTGTTGTGACATCCTACCTTCGGCGAAACGATGTATTAGTTGCCAGAATAGCAAAGTAAATTGACACAAACTAACTGTTCCTGGAAAATTTGTGCTGCCCGCCACTCGATTCTAGCATGTCCATAATGACCTCCTTAGACCACAACGGCCACCTAACGGTCTTACGTACGTGACGTGTGCCGATCGTCTCACACATTGATCAGCCGCCATGTAGCTGCGAGAGGTTTCAGCTAAGGTGGCACGAACCTTCAGCGTAAATTGGACATCCTTGTTAGACGCCCTTGCAATTATAACCATGAAAAGCGGACCTCAATTTAATTCTGCTCTAATTCGCAATAGCAACCGCAAGCCCAGCCATTCTCCTTTTCTACAGGGTATCATTGTCTACATAAAACACCTCCGTGGACATACCTGCGAAGACCACCTGGCAACGGAATCAGCACTGCTCATCGAAATCCTTCACAATTTGTAAACCTGACAATAGTTTAATCCGGATAGCTTAGCTAATGAGTATAAGTCACCTGCGGCATCCGCATTCCCCAGCTCCGTTCACAAGCTTTTGGCTTGGTAGACGTCAACCACACAGCAAACGGAACGCATCGTCATCATTATACACTTTAGCTAGAGGTGGAAACGCCACAGCTAATGCGCCGCAATAAGGTAAGGATAAAAGTACAAAAAACTTAACTACAACATTTTCATGCTAGCTGAGTTACCAGCCATGGATGGGCCCCGCTCCGGATAGCTAGCAGCCGGCTGCTAATCCACAAGGAAAACCATGATGTAACCGTATATAATTCTACGAAAGGAAAACAACAGAAATAATCTCGCGGAACATAACTGCGAATAACCATGAGAACGATCAGTCAGATGCAACACATACAACGTTGCACCACCGGTAGTCATTGTTCCTGGACGCGGTGAGTATTTGTCCAGCAAGAGCTCATCCTACAATGAGCCACAAATAACTGTTTAACTACGCTGCGATGTGCCGGATGTGACTGACCACTCAATAAAGACACTGCACCAACCCCGCATCGGCAAGTTGACCAATGCACATGTGCATAGACATGCTCTCATACGACTACGTCTAACTGTGCGATCCGGGACATGCAATTATTCTTAAACAATTTCTACAACCTTTTCTCCATACTCGTTTAACCCGCACTGTGCACGCCACCGCCTTGGACCAGTTCCTCACCAACATACTCCACGCTAATAAGCTCTCCACTTCTTATCTACATCTGTCACTCTGTGAATGTAGACTTCATTGAATCTTTGGGCCATTTGGGCCAACACCATTGACTACCGCTGTGTTACTCCTGCGCTTAGTCCTGCTTATCATGCTATCATGTACGAACTTGCCTTCTACCGATCACGGCCAAAATGCGGGCCTCACCTTGTTGATAATAAAATTTTTATTTGTTTATAGGGCCGGGCTGCTAACGGTATAGCCCGTCATTTTTGCCACCAAATCAAGGCAGCACAAACTGCGAACCAACGGAATATCCAGTTGTCGGAGCGTATACGGATATTTCTCCTCGGTGTCTTGAACACTCTGAAGGAAGATGTCAGTTGTTCTCCAGCCGAATTAGTTTTTAGCAAGGCACCAAATCGTGCTGTAGAATTAGTACTAAGACCGGGGTCAAAGGTGAATTAGTTGCAACGGCATACCTTGTACGACTAAAGCAGTATCGTAGCGTCATTAGTTCAGCGTCACCACGATACACTTCTTGAAGCAAACCGGTTCTTACCGAAATTTACAGGTAGCCCTTTGTATTCGTGCTCGCCAATGCGTTTCGCAGACCAGTGACACCGCCTTACGAAGGCCACGCCAAAACATTGCTGGCACAAACAAGCATTCCGCTTCGGAAAAGTGGCTCTAAAGAGTTTGCCGATATTGATCGCCTTAAACCAGGTTACTTTGTATCTACTTAGTCATGTGGTGCCAATGTTCTAAATGCTTTTCACATCTTATTCCTTTCAAGTCGGCTTCCTGGCCATTAACCCAGGAAGTTAGGTGGTATATTAGAAGGTGCCCATGATTGCAAGGCACAAGAATTAATATTCTTCTTGTACTTCTTATTCCGGTTTGTGTACTGGTGACCAGTTTCGTTTGATTACCATGCCGCTGTGCGCACGCCGGGTTCTGTTTTACTTTACACCTGTGCTGTGGACACCTTAGCGCTTGATGACGCCGTAAGCGGTACTTTCTTGTGTTCTTAGCCAGTCACGAGCTTTCGTGGTCACATGGAACATTATATACTAAAACCGCAACCGACCCCCGGCACGTCTGACACTGAAAAAACAGCTGAAGTTCATCTAACTCCCCAACTCCAGAGCGCCTCCAGGGCTTCTTCTCCTCCCCAGCCCCTACCTGTCAAACATACAAGAGCAAAAAGCGTATGTGTTTTAGACGAGCAGTTATTCTTCTAACCTAGCTACTCACTTAAAGTAGCACGTAGCAAGCGGTCATGTACCCGACTCAAGCCCTAGGGAGGAGACCTGTAGCGCCGTTGAATTTTTGCCTTTTTATTGGCACTGGCTTGTTTCCAGTTATTTATTGTACGGCTATTTTAATAATCTTAACATATACATATTCTTTCAAAGTTTGTCTTGAGTTATGGGTTCGGTCGGCTGCGTATGCCTGCGTAGTAGCTTTCAAGGTGCCTGCTACATGGCAGGTAAATGAAATGGTTACTGACCCGGATGGCATCACCTGCTGTGGTACACGTCTAGCTC